TTTAAACTAATTCTCGCAGCCTTCTTCTCGTGCTCGTGGTGTCTGCGTGTTGCTGCTGTGCGTGCTTGTCTCTGCCGAGAGCGGTCCCTGCTCTTTCCCGGCTCCGCTCAGGGAGCCCTTTAGAGCCGTCGGGTTGCGAGTTGCGGTGGAAACTTTGGTGTGGTGGTGGCGGAGCAGTTTTGGCAGCGTTGGAATGGGAATTTTTGTAAGTCAAAAGTAACTCGTACGTGGTAAATTTAAAGTAGCAAAACAAGTTTTTGCTGCCCTGCCTGAATTTGCCGGGTTTAATGTGTATATGAAGAATCATACAAATACCGAAGTCCTCGTGGTCTTTGAGTGTGAAAGCTTTTTTCCGAGATGAGAATCAATGACAATTTCACTGGAATGATTCTAGGCTCTCTAAACACAACTGTGAGAGCTTGTTTAACAGTAAGGGTGCTGAGGCTCGGAGGGCAGTGAGGGAAATCTGGCTCTCACATTAAACAGGCGAGGAATAGTTTGCAAGGACTCCTTCATTCCTATCACGCATTCATGACACTGTTGCCTTCATTTGTTTATTTGTTATAACGTCGATGGGCTCTTTCCCCCTCAGTGCTGTGATTAGACTATTAGATTCAGAACCAGGTTTTCATACTATGAGGTGCCTGGTGCTATTTTGTCTCAAAGTACTTTCCAGGACAATATTGCTGTTTGAAAACAAAGCTAAGCCCTTTTCTAAACAGCACAGTGCAGAAATATTATTTGCACAAGAATAAGAGGAATTTGTGGGTGATTTGACAGACCAGCTCATGATTCAGTGTCACACACTGAGTTCCCTAAGTTCCTCATTCCTCAAACTGCTTTAAAGCTTGAAGCTGCTTTCAAAGTTTACCTCCACAGGTGAGAGGCACCTGTGTCAGTCTGGATAGCTCAGGAGCTCATGGAGTGCCTCTGACATGGCAGTTAATTAAATTTAGGAAGGCTGTATAGTCCCAATCTGCAATGAATTATCCAATGAATTACTATTTTGGGGAATCTGCTTGGCCGGCAGTCTTCCATTTCCAAAAAGCCAGCTGTGGGGTTTTTGGAGCAGGTTGTAGCCAGTCCAGGTGTGATATAATTAACAGATGAAGTTAATCATATGTTGGCTGTCACCCAGCCCTCGGGAGTGTGTTCTGCATTGTGTTGTTCCAGTTGTGAACCTGCAACACTTTCTTTTGATGGCAGAGTATCTGATTCTGAAGAATTTGTGTGTTTCTCTTCCCCATTTCATGAGTCTTCTCTTCACTTTTCTCTGCACAGAAACATCTCAGGCTTTCTCCAGGCAAGCTCATACCTGCCAACCCCATTTACTCTAACTTTCCAACTTCAGCTGTTGTCTTAGGTCAGCCTTCCCCGCCTCAGACCTGGTGAAGTCGGCAGAAACAGCGAATTTTCAGCAACAGGAAGGGTTAGAGGAGATGCCACAGAAGCAGCCTCACCTTCAGCCCTGACCTGCTGCACCACTTCAGGTAGCATCATTCTCTCTCCATGCCTGTTTAATATTTAATGTTCTTCTGGCCATACAAGGGATTTCTACAGATGGAAAGGCTTGTGTAATAAAAGCTATATGTGGTCACTTAAGTAAAGTGAGCAGTTAAGTATCAGAGGAGCTTTAGATAAATAGGAAAGAAATGTAAAATCACCAACAACTTCCAGGTGGGTCAAAACCTAGGGGAGAACACAACCAGAATTCCAGCATGTGTGTTATCTACCAGGTATTTCTCTGCAGTTTCCTTCTGGAAATCTAAAAGCACAAATTGTTTTGATACATTTATAAAAGACTTTACAATAATCATGAATACATTACTTGTCAAAAGTACACATGAAAATCATAATAATGATTTGCACTTCAGTGAAAGCTGAAATAGACAGTACTGAGTCCTGTACTTTTATTATAATGGAGTGAATCCCTAAAGTAATTTCGATGCAATTACCTTTTAAAAATGTTTTATCAAGATAGAGGGGTGAAAAAAACAAGCCACCAGTCAAAGTCAGATTTCCTCCCCAGATTTCCAGGTAGTAAATCTGACTCTCATTTTTTTAGCTTGTTGGACTTTTGGAACAAAGTATATTGAGATTATCCTTTGATTTTGGTATTCACAGTAAAACAGAATTAAATTACTGCTTTTCAGTAAATCACCATTACTAGTGTTTTCAGTGGTGAATAAAAATGATTAATTAATTGCCTTTACAGTTAAACCAGTTAAACATTTTTATTTCTCTAGAAAGACATTTTAAATAAATTCATGTAATAATTTAATGCATATCTAATCTTGTATTGGAGTAATATTGCTCTGCCAATTATTAAAGACTGATTTTTTTTTTTCTCTCTCTCTAAAGGTTTTTCCTAGGCACAGGTAAACAAGCACATACAAGACAAAGAAGTTTAGGTTGCTTGTCTGGAGGTATACATTCTTATATGACTGTGTATTGTTATTTACGAATGTATGTTATTTATGCTTAATGTTATTTAAACTCTTAATTTTTTTGTGTGAAACCTCCTGATTCTCTTTGATGTTGTCAAATGTTTCTTTTCTTGTAGAGCTGATACTGTCTACTCAGGCAGAGGACTGTGTAAAGGACAGTCAAAAAGTAAGAAGGTGACAGCCATGCTTTAATCTTATACAAACACTGTAATTATATTGAAGGGGTTTTTTTTAAGTTTTCAACACATTTGTTGTAAGTCTAAAGTCCTACTTCTTTTTTTCACACAATTGAAAAACTGGGCGTTTCCAGGCGCAATTAGCGCAGTTAAACCCTCTGTCATTTTCCCCCCGTTTCCTCCTCCTTCCCCCGGGTTCCGTGTGCTGTGTGCCGGGCAGGGCAGGGCCATGGAGGCAGCGGACGTGCCGCCCGAGGGCTACT